CTCAGTCTCGATGGTCAGCGATGGATATTCACCTCACCGCTTCATGGCTCGGTAAATATCCACCAACAGAAACGTCCACTTCAGAAAATAGTTGTTCACTAAAATAAATATATGTATGTGGAATATCCTTTAAATGTGCCTCCACGATAGATAATGGCGAGTTCTCATTCATGCTATTTTCCACAAATTCTGAAGGATAGAAACCTCAAGCAGTGTGACAGTGACTATCAGAACTTGCGACAGGAAAATGATTCCTATTGCTGATAATTTTCTTTATTGCATCCCTTTCAATAGTTGATGGATTTTCCAGATAAGTAACTAAATAGTTGGTTATCTGAAACCTAATGTCGGAAGATTTCGGTTTTTCCAACCATAGAAATGATTTTCGAAAAGACTGAGATTATGATCTTTAATTTTCTCTTGTTTTGATTTCCTCATTCAACCAGCTCATGAAACACCTGAGTTAATCGAAAAGAATATAGACCGACTTAAAGTTTGGTTTCGATGTCGATGGTTTGCTGTATTTTGGGAAGAACCGTGTCAAGATTTGTTATTCCTCTCGCCCAGATCAGATCATTCCCACTGGGCTCCCCGCGGGCTGAATTTGACCTTCTTGAAGGTTTATCCACTGATATATGCAAGGAAGCATGTACTCGTTTGAAAGCCATCCTAAACTGTGGATTGAACGCGCCGTAGATTATCGGATTACAAAAACTGCTTGAAAACATCGTGTAATAGACAATGATGTAAACAAAACGGGGGGCTGCGTGGCCGAACACTTCGCAAAAACCGACAACACAAACTGGTGTCCAGCACAAAGTGTACACACAAACTACAGCCACGAAAACTTTGATTATCTTCTTTTCTTTTTCCGTCGTTGCTTCCTTCTGATGATAGAGTTTATCTCTTAACCTATTATAAGTTTGAACCTGGCGGGAGCTTTGTCTTACAAATCTGAATATGGTGAAATAGCAGTAGATTATGATGCTCATTGTTATAAAAATTGCAACCGTTAGTAAAAATGTAATGTAGGAGATATCCTTCACGTACCATCCCATGGTGCAATCAGTGAACTTGCCACTAAATTCTATAGTTCCCCAGCCATACAGAGGCGGACTGCATACAAGGACGGGAAAAACCCATGTGGCAATAATAATCACATACGTTGTTTTACGGTCTGAAAAATATTTTACAAAAAAATTTCTTTTCACGATGCTGAAATATCGATTAACTGCAATTCCTGCCATTGTTTGTAGCGACGCTGTGCCAAAGACTAGCTCAGAAAAGCCAACAAACTTGCAAGCCAAGTGACCAAATAACCACTGACCACTGCGCATGCTTGCTATCCAAAATGGCAGGTGCAGCGTTGCCATGATGATGTCTGTCCACGCAAGGTTCTCAACCAACATGTTAGTGATGGAGTTGAGACGAGGATTTCTATGAATGGTGACCACAACTAAGGAGTTGCCGACGATGCAGGCGATACATATTAAAACTGCAATAGTAACTTCGATGCCAACTTGCAATGGTGTTCGCCCAAGAGGATCGTACTCCAATTCTTGGATATTGCTAGTGTTCTTCCCTTCCATTCTTTGGTGTCGAATCTCCTTAGTTACCTCAGTAAAAATGAGGTAAAGTTGAACGCTTCAAAAATAAACACCCATACGTTTGTGGCGACCATCTTTCGATTTAGAAAGAGCGTCTTAAGTGTTACAATCTGTGTAACTTGCGTCTACGTACACCAAGCTTTATACGATTCCCGCCACGTTCTACAAACAGGGTCAGCAGGCGAAAGCGAACCTAACACTCAGTATCTAATTCCACGGCGCGTCGACCCTATCATTAAAAGTTGGAATTTAATAACACTTTGTGACCTGGTTCTCAGTCCTAAGGAAGGAAATATTCCAAGAAATAGTGGTGAAAAAGTTTCCGGGCTATGTTTTCTGGAACTACTTTCAGGACTGAGTTAAGAACTCTTTTATTTGTCATTGTGCGGAATACCACGGAAAGCGTTTGTTGTAAGCTGTTTTTTCTTTTCCTTTATCATTTTGGGGTGAGAAACGAAATTTTGCATTTCTGCCATGGTTCGATCAATTATTCTATCATTTCCTACCGAACGTGCGTGTAAAAAGCTGAAAGATATCAACTTACATTTCTCAGCCAAACCGCACATGGAACCAAACCCAAGAAAGAGAGCTAACAATAGAACTGCTACATCTTACTGCGGTTGGATGTTAAAACCAGTATTTAGAATAAAATTGTTTTCCTAGAGAAATTACAGCTGAACGTACTAATTAACTGCAGGCAGTGACTTCACTCTGAGTAATTATGGGACATTTTGTTTGAATTGTTAAAAAAGTTGCGTTAACATCTTACCGACAGCTTTTCAGTGGGACAAATGTACGCTTGTCGGCACTCGTTTGTCATGCAAAACAATTCCATCAGAAGTGAGGTTATAGCTTCAGTTTCAGTTCTAACAAGCCAAAAATTTGCATAGTGCCTCGATTAAATAATATAGATAAATAAATGGACGAACGGACGAAACAATCCACATATTAAAAGTAAAAATATATTTAACACACAAAAACAGTAAATTGATAAAAAGATCAAATATGAGTGGTTTTTTTTTAATTTTTTTATTTTATGATCTGTATCTAAGATTAACGTCGTAGCATTGGTTTCTTTGTGGTTCGCTTCCTTCGGAGCCTCAAAGTAATTACTTAATCGTGACTCTAACAAGAGGAAGGCTGGATTATTGGTTTTTACCGACCCAGTCCAAATAAAATTGTCCCCAAATCTCCATGTTTTGTCACCCCACAAGTCCGGAATTGACATCTTTCTCCTCTTCGGCCGACAGGTGCGGTGTGCTTGGAAAATAAGTCACTCTACTTCAGTTTGGGCAGCTGACATATTTAAAGGCCTGTATAAATCCAAAGTTTAAGAAAAGTGAATTCAATATTATGCGCACCTATAAACTTACCATGTCCTTTCTTTTCTCCCCTCCCCCCTCCCACTCAGAGCCCGAAGCCAAAAACTCAGAAGATCGACGAAAACGATATCGAGGATTCGAACATCAGACTAAGGAATCCCTAAAACTCTTTTATTGTCTCCTTGGAGTATTCAGAATGCATGTTCTCTTGACAGATTTATATAGAACAATTCCAAACGCCCATGATCTCCTAGACAAAAAGAGATATCACGAAGATGTCCTATATAATAAAATTAAAGGAAACCATTCAACTTTAAATACTTTTAGAAAGCAAATAAAAGTGTACTAAACTTAAGGATGCTCTGCACCACACTCGCCTTTTTTACAGAAGAAACTTTTTTTTCACAACAAAAAGATCCATGGAGCTTCCTGTTTACTTGAACCCTCACCCAAACGAGATGTTAACTTTATGTTCAGCGCGAACCTATGAGTTCAGCCGTTGACATCAATTACTTAAGGCTAAGCTTTAGAAAAGACGGCAGCAAGAGAAATGAATTGATAAGACATAGGAAACGGACATATGTAGCTTTATCCGTTTCTTAAAATTAGCGAAGTTGACACTTAAAGTTACGTCTTTGCAGCCCCATTGAAAATCAACAGGGGTGCAAGATTTTTGTCTCAAAACTAATTGAAATTGCTACGTTATATTTATTATTTTTACGTGCCTTTTTCAACAAATCTTCTGCTCAGCATGTGTATAAGATAAATATTGATGTTACTCTCAGTTGTTAGAGATGATAGGACCCTCTCTTATCATCTTTGGAGAGTTAGAATTTTTAACAAAGCGTTATTGTAAACATGGTCAATTCAAAATAGTGCAAATCTATCATATCATATTTCAAAACTAGTTAGAGGTGAAAGGAATCAGTTGCATAAAGATCGAGGTGGAATTCGTGGCGAAGGAATAATGGAGATCCATGATGAGAAACTTTGGGAAAGCTGGGATGAGAAAAAAAAAAACAAACAATTTTGTGGGCGCCCGAACCACATTTAAGCCAGCTCTTTCAAACTCTGTCGTTTTGGCTCTACGAACTCGTGAAAAATTTGGTTAAAAAAAAAGAGATTCACACACGCTAATACTGAATCGCATGGAATAAAAACCTGTAAAAACCTATAATGATCAATACTACGCTTTTGCTTGTTCCAGTAGTGTAAACACACGCCTTTGAAGTGTAATGTACTAAAATAAAGTTTGATATCAAAAACAATTGCGTGTAAAGGAAAAGGGAGTTAACTGAATACATTAGTGGCTGAGAAATCTTTAAATATCCTGTAAAACTGAAAGGAAGTCTTTGAGTTGCGCAGAGATGGCTGGAAAACATTTTCAAGTCAGTACAAGTCGTTATTCCCCAAGTGAGTAACTCTTCCTTGAAAACCAACATAACGCTGAAAGACGAGGATTTAATTTTTCGAGAACAATGTACAGTTTTTCGTGCGAAAAGTATTCGGTTACCTTTGGTTGACCTTGAAAATCATTTCTTTCGTACGCTTAAAGCGCTGCTATAACAGTTTCTTTCAGCATGCACGCATTTCAGCCACAAACTGAAGAGTTCATAGGCGTGTATTTCCTTAGGAAAAGATAAAAATTGAAATATGTTTTTCTTGTAAAATTATGTAGCTGAGATTAAAGAAAAAAAAAATTAATTGAGTCGATAATGTTTCGAAATCTCACTAATAAGTGTTTTAATTTAATGTAAGTCGTGTATAAGGGTCGAAAAATATAAATGACTTGAAATACACTTCCCCTCAGGAGAAAGTCAGGGGACTTCTACAGAGGAAGTTTTGAGACAATTACTTCCACCCACAAACTGGATTACATGATGAGCGAAGAGGAATGGTCAGTGAGGTAATGATTAGGAATTTGTGAGTTGATGCGTCATGTTTGAAAGGCATTTTATTCTGGCTCACTTCGAGGGGAGGTCTTACATAACAGGAACTGATGGTCAAACGGTGCCAGTTGTTTTAACTGACAAACCCACGTGATATTATTGAGATATAAATGCACTAGGCTCGGTTAGATATCATTGAGCGAGAGTCTTAGCACCATTGTGAACGTCCATTACATTGAGATACCTGGTCAATTTGCCGGTTTTGCTTGAGACTTCACAACAATGGTTGGATCTCTCATCTGTGGCCTCTTGCTTCTGAACGTACTGGGCACAGGTAATGCCGATTTATAGAAAGTAAAATTTCATCCCTTCTTAGATAATATGGCGAAACTACCCACAAAACAGTAGAGAACGTTAATGGATAGAGAGCGCACCACCGATGGCACATTCAAATAGCCAGCTAGCAACGGAGTTTGAATGTCTATTACTGACTAAAAAGGTTGTACCCAATTCTTCTGTCGCAGTTTCACAATTACTTGTTGCCTGGTATTTTGTGTTTCAGTTTTATTTTTTGACGTAAATCAAGTTTCATGTTCTCGTGTTATCCAGAAAAAGATAAAAAGATTATTAAAAGGAAAATGTGGAAACTGTGGCAACAAGCCTTGTAATGCTCCCGTTTGGCAACAGTCACGGATTTATTGCTACGAAATTCCTATTAAGTGTTTGAGCAAACAGTGTGAATGAATGCATTTTTACGATGTTTCAGACATTCTCGGGCTGATGTACTAGTGAAACTAACTTCTCAATGTTCCGAACGCCAGGTAGTGATCGGTTTTCTCCGATCAACGATTTATATAAACTTTAAAATGGGATAAATCAGCATACTGAAATAAATTTCAATCTAAAGGGGTAGGGCATTGCAAGCGTTTTGTTAGTCTCCAGAAATTTAAGTGTTATTGATTCTTTACCGATTGTTTAACACAATTCAATTACTTGTATATACAACATTTCGACATGTTTAAAGATTTTCGACTTACAGCCGATAAAGGTCAAACAAACAGCCGTCTCTTATCTTCTCGATTTATACGTTATCGCGGAAACATCGCTGGAAGCTTCATATGTAAAATCAAACACTCCTTTAGAAGTTAACAGCTATCTGCCACGTATCTAGGTATGAATCAAAGCTTTTTTTCTTCATAACTCACGACATGAACTCGGCGCCATTTTGTTTGTTATGCAATAAAATGAATACTACGCGCTCTGTAATTGGTCGTGACCTGCGATCTTCCATAATCAAATATTTTCAGTCGGTAAAAAGACACTGATCTTTGTATGTGAATATCATCAACTTTAGTACCAAAAAAAAATTAAAATAGAAATGCTGCTGTTGCGTCACTTTTCGATACTCGTGATTTTCACAAATCCTTCAGTTTCGTGCTCAAAGAGGAGCTGTAAACTACAGCATTAAGTATCAATATTTCTTTATTTTCTTCTTTCTGTTTTCAGGCCTGTCGTTAAGATGCCAAACATGTTACTCACAGGGGTCTTGGGCCAACTGTACACGTAACAGTGCGAACCTTGATTGTGGGTCCTTTTTCGACACCTGCATGTCAGTACACAGAACGAGAACGCTCAACGATGGAAAAATTATCCACGAGTTTGCAAAGTCCTGTTTCATCAGCACTATATGCAAGAAAACCTTATGTGAAAAGAAGGATATGAAAGATAAAGAGGTGGTTTGTGATCTCACGTGCTGCGGAACCCATCTCTGCAATACAAGGTTAGTATGAACCCAAAAAAGTTGTTTTTCCTTTTATGGACTGGTCTTTGAGCGTTTAGTTCTGTGAGCGCGAAGACCTATATTGAAATATCCAAGAAATTTTCAAGTCTTAGAGCGCCAAACAATTGTTTTCGTTGCTATGGGTATGGTCTGACCAGCATCCTCGCCAGCATCCCATTTAAAGGGGAAAATTTGTCGTATTCAGACATCTCACAGCCAAGCGCCTGCCAACATTTCAGTGAGGGTTACACGGTAGGATCTGGGCACGAGATTACCGGGGAATAGCAAAACTCTCAGTCATCGCTGGCTACGGACACCTGAATGAGCTCTGGCGCGTGGTGGGTCAATTGGCTTGAGTCTAGACGTGCTTAACTAGTTAGCTTTTACAATCTTAAAAATTGTTTCTGTCTTTAAGGCGTTTTCCTTCTCTTTCTTTTTAGATCAGCAACAAGGAAATCAATCAAAATTAAAGTTGATGACTCCTCCGAGTTAAACTGAATTGCCCTCAGGGTTTCACTGGTTATTTTTAAACAAACCAACTGCCACAGGGTAGCCAGAATAATGCTGCTTTAAATCCTAATTGTAATTTCAATCACACCATATTTTCAACGATTGTAATATCGTTTATGCAACGGAAAATCTGTATTAAACAATATGTTGTCCAGAAAAACGACACACCCGAAGATGTATTAAAAATAGCCTGCGTAGTTGTTGGTTTTGTTTTTTTTTTAAGGCTTTTCGATGACGTATTTTCTTGAACCGATGGCAAAGGAAGTTGTTATCGGCTCTGATAATGTCTTCCGCTCAGGTTGTCGAAACGTCAGTCACCACTACCAACAACATTCCTTCTCAGGACTTCCCTCACTCGGACGATCTCTGGATTACACCATCAATTATTACTTCTGTGTTTAAAGCATTTAATGAGGTATGGAAAAAGATTCATTGCCAACATGTTCTTCTGTTGGAACCATACTGCACTAGAATAAACGAAATCGAAGTATTATAGCAGAAACCAATAACTTTAGGCTGAAATGTAAGAAAAACATTACTTTTTTTTAATCAGACGTGTTCAACGGCGACAGCTGATTAAACAAAAACTTTATCCTTTAAAGGGAGGTGCATTGAAACACAGATACCTTTGTAAACACAAATCTCTATTCGTGTCATCCACGAAGCCTTGAGGCGTTATTGAAGAGGAAGCCTCTATGGTGCTACACAGGGCTACTTAAAAGGAATTAATAACCAACCCTCAACTGCTGATAAAAAAAATAATCGGTTATTTCCGTGGTACCTGGTAGAAGTAAAACTTTCCAATCTTTGACAGCTACATCGCCAAAACATGAAACTTGAATAATGCACGGAAGAGGATAATGCCTTTTCAAGTATAATGTAACGTGTTAATGAAGAAGCCGGTGAGCCTTATATAGAAAGAAGCGACGACATCTTACTGAAGGAACCCCCCATTTACATCGTATCAAAAAGGTAAATCCCTTAAAGACATATTAGTTGAGTCTACTAAGCTTTGAAGACTTACCAGCTGAAGGAGTCACACAGGCCCGTAAACATCTTTTTACAAACTATACGCACATAAGATGTTTTTTCCCCCATAACATGTTTTCGCGGGTCAAACAAATGTGAGTTACTCATTATTCCAGTGGCATGACTTTGTTATGGATTATCCCCTGATTCCGTTTTCAAACCTAAGTGCAAATTGCTCCTTTCTTTTGTGCATCTGTTATTCAGTATTCATTATTCAGCTTTCACCCCCTTAAAATCCTCATCACCTAGCATCCTTCGTTATATTTTTAATAAATGCATCCTCACAATAATTTACGTTTCAAATAGAGAGAGAATTTTTGAAATCGTAATATTTGAGCATACGAAATTTTCTGGGAGATGTTCATCAATCCACGGACAATAACAAACAATTTTCTCCTAAAAAAAGCAAATAAAGCTAGTTCAATACATAAGACATATTCCTGCGCAAAAAAAAAAAACTATATCAACCTTGAACGTTATCGTTTATTCTAAAAGCCCAAGGTGAGTGCGGGTAGATATGATGACAACTCTTTTAAAACATCAATACTTAGATGTAGATAAGAGTTATACGCCGCGCCTCCAAGTCAACCTTTTGTTCGCATCTTTCAAGGTTAATACCTTCTGAGTGACATTATTTTTAATTGAAGGTGCACACACAACAATTTATCATTCGACACCCCCGGTCTCTCTGTCTCTGAAGTTAGGCGAACTTGAGAAGTGAAACTGTTTTAAACTGTTAAGAATAGTCTCTCCTTTATTTACGAAATATGTTGTTTTTGTTGCCTGGATTCAAAGAAAAACAACAGCCCTTCACAACTAACGTCATCATAGAAATAAATTTATTTTTAGCTTATCTTTTTACTTTTCGCCTCAACGGGTGTCACGCCCTCTCCGTTTGGCTCAGGATGAAATAGGGCTCGCTTCGTTCTTCGTTGTATAAAAGTACTATTCTCCTGTAAGCGAAAATGTTGAGACTTTGTATGCAAATTTGGTTTTTACATTCTAACTTATACCTGTGTACTAATTAGTATTTTCTTTTGGTGAGGTTGATATTACTCGCTCGACAGCTGAATGACGAACGCGTTTACAGTCTTTAACATTGAGGAAAACACTCCCAATCATTGTTTATCATTAGAGCTTAGTCCGTGACCTATTTCAAGTGGCTCGTAAATTAGTCATGGTTAACTGCGCAGAAAAATAAATTTAAAAAGGGGACAGTCACATTGAGGCACGCTGGATTTTTCCATAGATAATTTGGCTTTATGAACTGTGTTGATGATGTAAAAATTTGCCTCGGTAAAGAGTTTCTGAAGCGGACGTTTGGAGCGTGTTGTTACGAGGGGAAAGAAAGTCGAGACAAAAGTGTAAGGTTTGCTTTTAAGATTCTTACAAGATTTCACTCCGAGAAGTTTAAATTAAAGCAGGTTACTTTTTCACGTCTCTAAATTTACCTTCACTATGCCAATCTTTGGCTAGTTCTTTTGTTTGCTTATTAAGTACCTTTTGTCACCATTATTATTTTTTATTGACTTCTTTGTCAATTGTGCAAATGAGCCTTTAAGTCTTAAGTTTATTCGGTTTTTCATTCTACAGAACAGGTGGCTACATTTTGTAATTAAAGGACCTATATGATGTGATCACTGCCTCGTTTGGAACAAGATTTATTACAAAACCTTTTTAGATGTTATAAACAAACCAATCAATAGATCTTTTAAAGAACAATAATGTTTTAGTATTCAGTTGTCGTTTTTTCAGACGAAAGATTTTATTTCATGGTGGGCAATTAGTATGCGGCTTCTCAGTCCCCCCCAAGGATTTAATTTTGACACGATTTATGGCATGATATTTCTAATTTTTTTACCCCCGGCGCTCGTGCTTAATCTATCTGGCAACTTCTGATATTTCGGAGACGTTAGTTAAGTTTCCACCAAAGAAAGAAAACTCAGGTTTACTTGTGAAGAAATTAATTACGTAGTCCAAACAATGATTTCTAATTATAATGGGTAGGTGGGAACATTTAAATGCAAATACATTATATTGTGTCACTGCTCGTTCATTTTCGACAGCATTTTTGTTCATGAGGCATAACGGTGATCACGTAGCATGGTTTGGTTTCAAGGTCACCCCATTTCGTCTTTAATCTCAGTTCGTCAAGACGAAATATGATGTGTAAATAGCTGAACATTTTTCGAATCGTTCAAGGCCTCTCGCTATGCTTAAGTGTCTTGACGTCATAAGGCGATGATATAGCATATCTACGGGTTTTGAACGAACATTGGAAACGTGCTTTCTTCCTGTGCCGCTCACCAAGGTCTACTGTGTCAGAAGTTCTTGGCAGTGGCGCCTTTTATGATTCAGGTGAGACATTATTTGAATTTTGAGAGTTTGGAAGACCGCTAAACTTTCAATTTCTAACGAGATATCCGGTCGAAACTATCGATAATTAAAATCAAAATAAAGTCCCACAACTCATACGGTAACACCAGGGTAGAAAACAGAGAAAAGGCGCGTAGGAGAAAGAAGCCTGTTTTGTTTTGTACCGTGCTCAAACGTACTTCTTCTTTGTTTAATGCGTTTCTCAGTTGACCTGATTGTACTGTTGTTGCATGGAACCCTTCGTGCGTAGATCGTCTATAATATTTTACATAAATTTGATAACATTTGACTTCTTGCATGAAAATAGGAATGATGACCAATTGGAAAAATTATATTTCTTTACTCTGCACAAAAACGAGGCGTTTAGAATCTGAGTGCAAAAATTTGAATATGTTGAGAGTCAATGATCATCACACAGTGCACAATAGTATTATCAATATTTGTGTCAGATCAGATCAAATTAGACAAAGGTCACCGATGCTTTACTTGAATCAAGACACACGTTCACCTTCGTCTTTCTATGCCCATAACAACCACGATTCCCCGGACCTTTAGCTGTTTTTCAGAAATTGTGATTTCCTGTTTAACTTCAAATTTGTGTTGACGTCAGTTGCAGTAATGGAAAGCAGATATTCTGTTAAACGCACGAGAAAAACAACTGAACTAAAATTAGAAGCACTGTTAAAATACCTATAGAGTTGCTTTTCATATGAGATCAAATTTATTTCAAGACTTTTCAAATGAATGATGCCTTTCTTTTCATTTTCCTCATCAATTGTCTTAAATTACTGTTTGGGTAACAGTCTACCACACAATTTTGCTCTTGAAGTTTACGTCGAAGGATTGACGGGATCGCAAAAGCCTTGACCCCCTAAGGATTAAGCCCTTTCACTTTCTTCATCACCTCTTTACATTGAAAATACAAGATAGGGTGCAGTGACACGTTCACTGCACCTTACGATTGTGTCACCGAACTGAGTTTAAATCGCTTGGTTCTAGAAGAACACAATCCTAATATTTGCTTCACCGTAACAGTAATGAATGACGCGATTATTATCCACGGCTGGGTTGCTTGAAAAAAGGGTAGTGGCGTTTCGTGAGCTGCATGTTGGACTCGATGAGAGGAAATTACTGACTGGCGAAGTCGGCAAATTTTTTTTCAAAATGAAAGTGAAGCTGGATGTACCGCGGAAATGTCAATAGTGTGTTAAATCGTGTGAGATCAAGAAAAGAACACGCGCACGGGAAATAAAAACGTGTAATGAAGACTGAGGTTGTTTCTCGTCAGTTCTGAGTTCAAGCTCTCTCGCCTTGCTTGAACAAAGCCACGGTATAGCCTCCGGCCATTTAGAATCAATTTTTCCTTAGTTATCTATTGACTTTAATTTTTAATATCTGGATCGCAAAGAAAACTACTGGGTCACGAGGGGGGCATTGGGATTTTCGGTTTTGCGGTTTTGGAGTTCATTGCGGTTTGCGGATTAAGCTAAGGGTACGGCTAAGCACGGAACATTGCCAGAGTTTTTTTTTTATCAACGCCACCTCGAAGTTGGTGACCAAGTCACAGGCCATATGTGACTGTTTGATTCAACATTCCAATAGAATCTCCAAACTTTCAGGTCTTCGCAAATGGAAATGTTAGATTAGGGATTTTAGTGAAAACTTTCCAGAGCTAGAGCTTTTTGCGACTGCAAAATTGCAATCCTATTTGAATTTCTTTTAAATAAGCTGGAGTCAATTCAAAAAAGGGCACTACATTTTATCTATTCATGCCATAGTTACTTAGATGCCC